GGGAGGCCAGGCCGCTGTGATGGGAGAAGACTGAGTTTCAGCCAGGAGCGCTTCTCAGGGCTCTCTGGGGCCACCCTGGTGCACTGAGGGGGGAGGGGGGGTCAGTGAGGGGATGCTTTCCAAGACGCCTAGGCCTGCACAGAAGCTGTCTGCTGTCTGCGTAGCCTCACCCCTGGCCCACACGACCTGTGTGGACAAAGCCTTGAAGGACCCCAGTGTTGAACACACTGTAGGCCCACAGGGAGGGTGGCCTTCTTTGAAGGTGCCATCAAATTTGGTGAGTGGAGGACATTTCCTAGTTAGGAAGTTGCTTGACTATAGCCTGGGTCCCTTGGGTCCCACCTGTGTGTGCCTGGCCCAGTGGGCTAGGAATTGGTACCTTACTCTCTCTGGTCTGTCTTATGGCTGGGTTCCGTGACATGGCTACCACTGCATGCAGGAGTGCCCCTGCCCACAGCAGGAAGTGGCGCGCAGAGTCCAGGGATGCACAGGGTCAGGCTGCTCAAGGCCTGCACTTGCCCTGGTGTGGGCCTGCAGCAGGAGGCATGTGTGCTTGCCAGGCATATCTCTGCTGAGCCTTGGGCTTCTGGCACTGGTGGCACAGGTACGGAGGCCATCTCCCTGGGGACAGGTGTAGGAGCCTGTTTGCTTATCTGTGCGTACACACCCAAGTACCTGGCTGAGTATCACTGCCTGAGGAGTGATACAGTGGCCCAGGCAAGGCCCCATCTTGCTGTGGGCTGCACTGAACTGCTATGGGTAGTGCCCTCAGGGAGGGACAGACCACAGGCGTTCAGGGTGAGCCCTCAAACCTCTCCTGTGGGCTAGTGGCAGCCAAGGCCTTTGAGGACATGGGAGGCTGGCTCTCTGAGCACAGTGTGCCTTGCAGATGTAGCCAGGGGACACACCACACTCAGCTCTGGGTTCTCAGGGAAACCAGACAAGGTTTCCTTCCTTTCATCTTGCCTGGAACCCCAAAGTCCGCACCCCACCCAGGGGTGTCCTTTTCACCTGGCTCTTCCTCTCTGCTCCTATACTCAGGCAGGAAGGAGTCATCAGTGGTTGGCAGGGCTGCACTTGGGCTGATCTCTGGTCTTGCCTTGTGAGTCACCTGCATGCCCCCTTAGCCCCTTGGTCAGCCCAGAGGCTTCCAGCTGCTCCTACAGCACAGTGCACAGGCTGCCGGTTTTTTTTTTTTTTTTTTAAAGTAAACCCACTTTTGTGGTATGTGTGACTTTCTCCCCATTACCACCGCTTTTCATTTAAAATGTTATCTCCCCCCTTCCTGTCCTTCATGCCCCCCCCCCCAGGGGGAAGAGGGGAGGCCCAGCCTCACCCTGGTGTAGTCAAGGTTATGGTGATAAATCCTGGGGCATTGTCACTTCTATTCGGAGTAAATTGGCTGGCCGCTTTCGGGCTGAAGGAAAGATAATTTGCTGTAGTATTTCAAATGGATTAGAAATGGATTTGAAGGGAAAGTTCATGCCTCCCATTACAAAGGCGAGAAGGGAGACTATCTTAAGGCACTGTTCCCTCCCTAGCCTTCATTATCCACGCTTAATACCTTTCCTATTTTCCAGCGTTAATGAAATTTCCTGGCGGCGTAGGCTTGCCGGACGGATGGGAGAAGCCTTTAGATCTGCGGGCTCCTGTTGCAGAAAAGGAATTACAGAGCTTGCCGTGAGGGCAGGCGCGTTCTCTGGGTCCTTGGCCCTGCTATTATCTCATTAATTTTATCCCCTCTTCTCAATACAGTTCGTTTCCAAAGGCTGTCCTCTCCATTAGGGTCACAATTTACTGGAGTGCTGTGACACCCATGGCCATGAAAAGCAACAAGGCTCCACCCGACGCCCTCCTAGCACCACCTCTCACAGGTTCCAAAGCCAGGAGGGTCCTGCCAGCTCTCCCCAGGTGCCCCCACAGCCTCCAGGATGCGGCTTCTCCGTGGGAGATTCCCAGGCCCGTGGGAGTGCCAAGCAGCAGGCTGTGTCTGTCCCTATTCACTGGAGGCCCTGGGCATGTGTGTGTGCAGGGAAAGGGAGCACGGAGTCTGGGATGATGAGGTAGAAGGGCTACCATGCTTCCATTCTGCCAAGTGGACCCTCCAGCATCTGGCAGTTGCTGTCAAATTCCAGTGTCCTGGGGAGGGGAGACAAGGGAACCAATGGGTTGGTTGTTCACGTTCGTCCATGAGAATAAATGTGGAAAGAGGTGTCACCAGAGATGTGCTTTTCAGCTGTGAAAACAAATCATGAGAAGCGTCCTCTAAGGAGGTGGGCTGCTCGACCAAAGGTGCCAGGCAGGGTGGGCGTATCCACAATACCTAGGCCTGAGCTGTGGCTGGCTCTTGGGCTGTGAGATGGACCTGTTAATAGAGATAGACTGAGGCTTCTCTGTGTAGAGACCAGGGCTGCTGGATCTCGTGGGGCAGGGATGGTGCCCTTGTGCCTAGAACTTGGCCATGCTGGAAGCTGCTCCTCCTGACCCTCAGAGACCCTGCAGGTCTCTGCCTCCACCAGTCCCTTGCCTGGCTTGGCCAGCTCTTTGCCTTCTGGACTGTCCCTAGGGGAGGGAGCAGGTGCTGTAGCTCTCATTGCTAGACCCGCAGGGTGCCTGGGGAGAGGGGCACAGGTGAGCGGATGGTAGGCAATCTCCAGTTGAACCTCAGTGAGTTCTCCCACCTTCCCAAGATGTCCTGAAGTCAGGCATGAGTCTTGTTGCTGTCTGTCCCTCCTTCATGGAGGCCTGTGCCATGCTTCCCTCACGAAGCCTGCTAGAGGCAGGGCCTATGTAGGTCCCAAGTGGTGGCTCCCAGAGCCAAGGACTTTGGCCCAGCTATATGATGGCCAGAGGCTCAGCAGGTGGCCTATGTTGCATTATCATGGTATCCCCCAATCACCAGCCCCCTCACCCTCCTACAGTGCCCCAGCCTTGACTGACACAAGAAGGGGCAATAAGGGGCCAGCGATGGTCAGGAGGAAGTTACAGGAGCCTATCCCTCACTCAGGAAGGTGCAGGGCAGGTGCTTACCAGCCCACAGGTGTCCTGAAGCCAGGGCAGGCCACAGTGGGGTCCCAAGCTCTGAGTTTGGCTGGCAATGCACAGAGGGGCACAAGGGCTGGCAGAGTACCCATCCACCCCTGCTCAGATGGAGCACGGGGTGTGGGGGGTGGGGCAGCTGACCCTGTGGGCCACAGCCAGGTTGAGCGGGAGGTGGGGGCCAGGCACGCCACTCAGCACAGTGAGGTCCCTTGGTGCTCTCTTTCTTTCTAAGATTAGTGTTTGTGAACTTGAATTTTAATTAAGGGAAACTGGGTTAAGTGCTTCTTGTGTCGTGTTTATACTTACACTGCAGCTTCTGTCCTGAGCGCCTGGCTGGCTCTGCTCCCATTATTTTTCTAATGGGCCCTCAGAGGCCCTGGGCTGGTGAGAATGGCCCCAGCTTGCAGATGGAGAGACCAAGGCCCAGAAGGGCCATGGTGCTGAGTGATGGGCATGGTGGCTGAGCCCAAGGCAGGGCTGCTCGACCCCTAGCACTTTTATTCCTGGTGACTGCACCTAGTGGCACCTGTGGCCTGCCCTGTCCAACTAGCCAAGTAAGTCAGCCCCCCACCTCTGTGTACTTGGAAGGCCTGGATCTGAGGGGAGCAACCCCAGCCGGGAAATGGTCTCCTGCAGCTGCAGGTGGGATTGGGTGCCTGCCTGCTCCTGAGGAGAGGAGCGGCATCTCTGGTCTGGGTGGGGTGCAGGGCTGTGGGCATGATGGAGGACTCAGAAGGGTGGGGCCCAGCCCAGGAGCTGCTGCTGGGAGTGAAGGCCACCCTTACTGTACCCTCAGGGTTCTGCTGAGGACAGCCCCGAGCTACCCTGCCCAGATATACCCATGGGCACAGTGTATATACTCAGCAGTCATAGCCTGAGCAGAGTCTAAGCTAATGGGAATTAAGCTTGATTTGCTAGAGGAAATCACTGCTGAAATGTGCTTGGCAGAGGAGACTCATCCTCTGTAGAGGCCTGAGGCTGTGAGTGTGACCCACAAAGAGGGTGCCTTATGGCCTCATCACAGGGGCTGACCCTGACCGCCCTGTGGAGTACCTGGCCAGCCTGTCCAGGTGACAGTGGAGGAGTAGCAGAGGGTGCAGGCAGCTGGGCTGCTGGGGTCTGCTCCCTACTTACCCTGCTCTTGTGCTTCCCTGGGGGCTGTGGGGTATCTGGCAGGATGGGGCCCGGGACCTGTGGTGCAGGGAAAACAGGAGGGAATAGGAGGCTACTTAGGTTGAAGGTTTATCGGCCCAGGTCTGTTTCTCCACTGATCCTGGGGACTCTTTCAGGCCTCTTTGGGCTGAATCTTGACACAAATTGGGCATTTCCCCCAGCAGCTACCTGGTTGGGGGTCTGAGTGATTGTCCCCCACCAGCTGTCAGTGCAGGGCTCTCTGAGAGGCAGATAAGGGGGTTGGGGCATCATGAGCAATGGAGGCACCTGCTGCCCAGAGTGGCATATGTCGTAGAGGGGGCTTTCAGCTCAGGCAAAGACTTAGGGGCTGTCCCACTACAGGTCCAGGTCTGGCCCGGTCCTGCTTGTCAAAATGTGGACTCTTTGGTGCCACTCCCAGCCCCAGGGAACCCACCCAGCAGTACCTGGCCAGATGGGCAGAGCCCAGGTGTGATGGCACCCAAAGTGAGGATGTGTGCTTGCTGGGCAGACATCTCCTTCCTGAGACCCTCTGGGGACTCATGAGTCTCCAGCCTGCTTGATGGGGTTGGAAAAGCTACCTTGTGGGGCTCCTTGGCAGTGTTCCCTGGTAAATGCCACAGAACTACCCCTAGGGAGCAGGGGACAGAGGTCTCTGGGTACCTGGACTGATGGTCTGTGGTCACCCTGGCTACAGTGAGCCCCACTCTGTCCCAGTCAGAGTCTGGGTCCGGGTTAAACTCTGGCACTGATCACCAGAGCCCCAGTCCCTCCTGGGGCCACGTCTGAAGTTCCTGTCTCTGCAGGTCCCTGGTGCTAAACTGCCTGCGTCCAGCTGCCACCGGGGGTGGGAAAGCACAGTCAGGCTCACCTCGGTGGCGAAACAGAGGCTACCGCAGCATCGGAGGCGTCCTCTACAAGGTGTCTGCCAACAAGCTCTCCAAGACCTGCAGCCGGCCCAGTGACGGGGGCAGCAGGCCCCTCCTCCGCACAGGTCAGGCCACCCATTCTTGATGTCTTGGGGATCCTCACAGGTTTGGCTTGAGCCCTTGTTCCCAGGTGAGGCCATAGCCTCCTCTGTCTGAGGAGGACATCCAGGCCTGGTGCTCCCAGGAAACCGATCCCAATGAGCACTTCCCAAGTGGGTCATCTCCCAGCCTGAGAGTTGATTTTACTCTTTGCTACACTCAGAGCCTGGTACTGTTCCTGCTGAGGCTGGGGCAGCCTGAGCAGGGAAGGCTCCAGGAGGCCCTGCAGCCTTTGTCATCCTCTGGGAAGGGCCCTGCAGTAGCATGGGCCTCTCACTTAGCTGAGCGGCCCCTAACTTTCTGTGGGCTGTGCACAGTGTCTGCGTTTTGCTCTTGAACAAAAGATGAGCCAGGTATGGCAAACACACCCGGGCGAGTGAACACCTGGGGCAGCGGCGCCCATAATCACATTGGTGACGCCTCACCAACTGTGTCTGGAGGCAGCCGCCACCACCTCCTTGTGCCCATGAGGCCCAGGGAAGCAGGCTGAGGAGAAGGAAATGCTTTGGATTTGGTTATTGTACAAATTAACTAGAAAAATATTTTGGTTTCAGTCTGATTTTTGCTCTTTCCTTGTCCATCAAAAAAAGGCAAAATTGCAGGCTGTGGGGGGTACAGGCCTGCTGCAGAAGGCATGAGGGAGAGGCTAGGCTAGAAGGAGGGGGTGGCAGAGGATCAGAGCCAGAGAAGGAGCGCTATCCAGAAGCCAGCCCTGCTGGACACCCTGGGAACAGGGTTCCCAAGGAGAGGCACCTCTGCTCAGCTGGGCCCTGGGTGCTTCTGTTTCCCATCCGTGCCTCAAGGGACTGGCTGTGTGATCTCCTGGGACTGTGGCCTCACCTCTGCTTCCCACCCTGAGTGCTCAGTGGCAGCTGCTAGGGGCTGGGGGCAGGCCCGCCTCTGACCCAGCAGGGCTTACACTGGTCACTTCTGAGCCCAGAGCTTAGTGCTTGGTAGCCCATGGGGCCCCACACACAGTTGTTTATGCCATAGATGGTGGGGTCTTGGGTGGGGGTCTCTCCTTTCCTAGCCTGTGACTCCCTGCTAAGCCTGGCCCCTGGCAGGGCGGACCCCAGGCTGGACAGCCAGGTGGGAGTAGACACATGAGGCCTGGTGCATGGCAATAGGGCCTGCAGGGAGCCAGCAGCAGCTGCTCTGCAGGGAGGTCGGGGTCAGCCCCTGATGGGGCCATGAGGCAGCCTATTTGTGGGTCACACCCACTGGTCCCACCTTTCCCCTGGCCTCCTTGTTGAAGGGAAAACCCAGCTTTGAGTAGCCTTGTCCTGAGTGTGACCCCTGCCCAGGTGACCCTACAGTCAGGACCTTAGTCCTGGGGCAAGGGCTGGCCTCTCAGCCTCAGGCCTCCCTCTCTGGCCTCACAGAGCAGCCGGGCAGAGCCCTAAGGCCTAGTGGGAGGTGGGTTCCCAGCCCACAGCTTTCTGTCACAGTGGAAAGGCAACCCGTGTGGTTCCAATGCTGGGGAGGTGTGAGGCTGAGGGCCAGAGATAATTGGTGGGGCCACTTGAGTCAACCCAGTAGGGTTTCCTTGCCCTGAGGCAGTGCTGGGCCCTAGTATCCTAGAGACGACTGCTATGTGCCAGTGTGCAGGTGGCAGGTTTAGACTTGACCTGCTCTGACAGTGCCCTCCACTGGGAAGGCCCTGCTCTGAGCTCTAGGGAGCTGAAGGCTGTTGCCTAGAAGATGGGGGAATGTAGGGGAGGGAACGGGGGTCATATTCCTCCTGGGAAGCTTCCAGTCTGCTCTCATTCCTGCTCCCACTCTGGGCCAAGTGCTGAGCCCTGCTGAATCTCACCTTCCTGTCTGCACACAGTGAGGCCCGGCAGGCACAGAGCCCCTGATGTCACTGCACATGGACAATCTGTTCTGGCCTTACTTGCCCATGGGCCTTTCCCTAGAACAGCTAGCTGAGAGTCAGTCCCTCTTCCCTGCCCTTCTGGGGCCTGTCACACCTCTGCTCTAGCAGTAGCCCAGAGCCCCTCAGTTCTGCCTGAGCTGTGTAAGGAGGACCTGGTACTCAGAGGTGCCAGGGTGGGTGGGGAGGCAGGGCTCCAGCCGTCTGTGTATACCAGCCAGTCTTGGAGGTGACTATGGGACAGCCCTGGGGTGCTGCCTGGCTCCTGTGAGGAAGGTAGCTTACTCCCCACCATGAATGTGCTGACTGGCCCACTTTGATGAATAATAATTAAAGAAATAAATCTCCCCCAGTATCAGCAACAATTTGACTTCACCAAGAAAGTGCAGACTCCTTGGGAGAGGAAGGGGCTTCTCTTCCTCTCCTGGCTCTACTCTAGCCCCTCAAGTACAGCAGCAGCAGCAGCAGCAGCCCTTGGCTTTCCTGGGTCCCTGAAACCTCCCTCCTAAAGAGTCAGCCCAGGACCCCTTCTCCTGTGCTTTGGTTGGGCCTGGCCCATGTTGTGGCTGAAGAACCTGGTAGTACCTGCGGTGGGCTGCACCCCAGGTCTGCCTGCCAGCACCGCTGGCTCCAGGCTCAGACTATGGGGAGCCTGACCCCCCGCCTAGTTTGTCCTGACCCCGGCATGTCCCACAGGTCCAAGTGAGACAGACGTGGGCTGTGCCCTCCTTGCTGTACTGACCAGCTGCTGAGAGTTCCTGGGCAAGGGGACCTCTGTGCCTCAGCCACCCACCTGTCGCCTGTCCACTCCTCCCTGGGGGCCATGAGGGAGCCAGCGCTGTCCTGGGATGGAGCCAGCTCACACTGCCTCTCCCTAGGCACCCACTACTGCTTCAGTCTTCCTAAGGGCCATGGACTGATGTTCCCCGGAGGGCCTAGTGACCCCAGCTAGGCAGGCCAGGGCTTAGTGCAGACCTCCCTCTGATGTCCTGGAAGGGGCCAGCCTGACCCTGTGTAGTGGGGCTGGGGTTGGGGCTGCCTGAACTTATCCCCTACCATCGGGTGGGCTCCAGCCAGAGCAAGAACTGGGGTGCTGAGGAAGCTGTGACCCCAGAGGGCCCTCCACCCTCGCCTGGAACCCAGGCCCTCCACCCGTCCATCCAGGAACCCAGTAGGGGTGGGGCTGGAGGGAGTCAGTGTCTATTTTTGGAAGATCCTCAGAAGTGAAGGTTCTCTAGAGTGCTCAGCACCTTCTGCTGTGGAGGCTACAGCTGAGGGTTGTAGAGTTGAACTTTTTAGCACCTCTCAGCAGCCCTTGCCTCTTTCCAAGCCAGCTACTTTATGCGCATTTTTTAACACTGCACAGCATTTGAAAAGGTGCCTCCTGTTCTCATCAAAAATCCTACTGTGAGCCCCACACTGCTTTTTTCTAAAGAGCAAACAGTGGAAAGGGATCAGACCTCACCCCCTTAGTTCTGACACTTGGGCATGTGAAGTCAGCATGTGCCTTGCTGGGAGCAGATGGCACTGCAGTGTCACAGCAGCCTGGGTGACTGTATTTTGTCTTTTCCATGAGGGCTGGCAAGTGTGAAGTTTGAGGTTGCCTCCCTGCTACCTGGACAGGGCTCTATTGCTGCCCTACCAACAAGTGTTCCTGCCGGGACAGAGACTGCCCTAAACATCTTGTTGCCTCTGAGCCCTATACATCCCTTGTCACCCTTGTGCCCCCTCAACCCGTACACCCTACACCCCCTTCATCCTGCACCTTGCCCCCCACCGTGCTCCCCTCATCCTCAGTCCCCTTCACCCTGTACTCTGAGCCACCCTCACCCTGAGACCACCTCATCCTAAGACCCCTGTCACCCTGTACTCCCTCACCATGCACCCCCACACTTTGCACCCTGAGCCCCCATCACCCTGCATTCCCCCACCCTAAGCCCCCTCACCCCCCTCACCCTCCTCACCCTGCTTTCCACTCACCCTGTACCTCGTTACCTTTCACCCCCTCACCCTGCAGCCCATTACCCTGAGCCCTCACCCTGCACTCTGCACCCTCTCATCCTCAGCCCCCTTCACCCTGTGTTCCCCTCACCACCCTCCCCTTGCCTGCATCTCCCCATTTCTAGCACTGGCTCATACCACAGCTACTGGCCTGGGCTGCCTGGTCACAGAGCTCTTCTCTCCCACTGAGGGTCCTGCCTCCCAGCCCTGGAGCTACCCTTTTGAGATTTGAGACTGAGGCTTGGCGCCCGTGGCTCAAGCAGCTAAGGTGCCAGCCACATACACCTAAGGTGGCAGGTTAGAATCCAGCCCAGGCCCACCAAACAACAATGATGGCTGCAACCAAAAAATAGCCAGGCATTGTAGCAGGCGCCTGCGGTCCCAGCTACTTGGGAGGCGGAGGCAGGAGACTCGCTTGAGCCCAGGAGTTGGAGGTTGCTGTGAGCTGTGATGCCACAGCACTCTACCCAGGGGGACAGCTTGAGCTCTGTCTCAAAAAAAAAAAAAGTTAAAAAAAAAAAAGAGAGAGATTTGAGACCAAAACTGATAGTGGGAGGCAGCCATGGCCATGGGGGGGCCCCACATGGCTCCAGCAGGCCAATGTCCCTCCCCTCCTCTGCAACTCAGTGTTTCCTGAGACCAACAGCATGGCTAGCAAGCCCTCACCCCAGCTGAGCCCAGGGAGCTGGAAGTGGAGGGAGGAGGTTGTAGGCTGAGGAGGCCAAGAGTAGGATAGGGTCTAGGCAGGCCTGGCAAGGTCAGGTCCCTGAGAGAGGGCCATGGTCTGTCTCTGGTAGAGCTACTCTGGTGTGTGAGGGGGGCTACTCCTGAGGCCAAGGAGCAGAGGGACCAGCTACTTGGGTCCAGGTGACTTTGGAATATCCCTTTTTAAACCAGAATGTTTTTGTTACCACCTCAGGTCCCCAGAATTTCTGAGTGATGTCACTTCTGCCCCTTGCCCTGTCTATCTCAGCAGTTGCCCATAGGAACTTGGATATAGTCTGGGAAGGGTCATGTGTGCACTTGAGGAGCCAGGAAGGCTGTCCTCATCAGGGGGTGACCCCCCTACAATTGTACTGTACCTCCTCCTGGAGGTGGCCCCCTACCTTCCTAACCACCACCTCCTCCTCCCCGGCCCACCTTGGGTCCCAGGGTTCTCACCAGCCTAGCCACGTTCAGCCCCAGTGCCCATCTCCCTCCTGTCACCTGCCTTCTCCTAGACCTTTGTCTGTGATCTCAGAATGTCTGAGGTGGTTGTCATGCTTGGAGTTTTGAGAAATGTCTAATGAGGTACCTCCAAAATTTCAAATAACAGCCACCAGCTGGTAGGATCCACCAGGCCTGGTCTGGGGTCTTGGGCTTGTCCCCCCCATGCTAGCACAAGGCCTGAGGCTTCAGGCCACATGGGCAGGGCCCAGCAGAGCTTCAGGAGGTTTCCTACCTACTCTGTATGCATACTTAGCTTTTATTTTTGTTTTGCTACTCTTCAGAAATGTAAAAGCCATTCTTGCTCTTATAAGGTCAGACCATATGTGGCTTAAGCAACCCTTCAGGTCCCACTCCGGGCTGTGGAAGATGGAGGTGCCCCTGCAGCCACTGTATTCTTCATGTGTATGGCAGCCTCCTAGGTGGCCAGATGGGGAGGGACCCTAGACAGGTGTCCACAGACCAGTCATCTCTTCAGCCTGAGAGCATGTCCTGGCTGCCTGGCTATTAGGGTGTGCGCCCAAATGCAGGGGGCGCACAGTCCAGCCAGCATCCATATAGCTGTGCAGCCCATGAGCTCCTGTCTGAGTAGTCTGTTCCTGCCATGGGCCTCCTGGCTGTGCTGGCTCTGAGGGCCCCATGGGAGTCTGCCCTTGACAGGGTCCAGATATAGGGCCCAGCAGCACCCTCAGGGGGTGGGCTCTCTGGGCAGTTTCCTGGAGGGAGGGGTGGGCAGGGAATGTGGCCCGCTGCAGCCTGGTGTGACCTGCGCCTCTCTCCCACAGGCCGGTTGGACCCTCCAAGCAGCTGTAGCCGTTCCCTGGCCAGGTACTTCCTTTGGGTGGGGTAGTTGGGGTGGGGTCCCTGCTCTCCCTTGGGCTCACACACCTCTGCCCTGCCCCCAGCCGGGCCGTGCAGCGCAGCCTGGCCATCATCCGGCAGGCCAGGCAGCGGAGGGAGCAGCGCAGAGAGTACTGCATGTACTACAACCGCTTTGGCCGCTGCAACCGCGGTGAGCTCTGCCCCTACATCCATGACCCTGAGAAGGTGGCCGTGTGCACCAGGTGAGCACCTGTAGGTCTGTGTGGGCCACCTCGGGTCCCCGCCAGCCCCCTTCAATCCTCTTCTCCTGGTGCCCCAGGTTTGTGCGGGGCACGTGCAAGAAGACAGACGGGACCTGCCCCTTTTCCCACCATGTGTCCAAGGAGAAGGTGAGTGTGCCCCACTGTCATGGGCTTGAGTCCCACAGACCCCTGCCCTGGCATGTGCAACTGGTGCACTACCTCTGACCCTCTACCCCAGCTGGAGGCAGCATATGGCACCACATGCCACATGGGTCCCCTTCCGTGTCCTCCCGGCAGCACTCAGCCATGCTACATTCTCCTCAGTGATGCTAGGCTCCCTCCCATGCCCACCACCTGCCTGGGGCCAGGGCCTTACAGGGATTGGCAAAGGGAGCTGTGTATGAGGGTACCAGGCAGGGGTCTCCTGAGAGAAGGAAGGAGGAGAGTCTCGGCAGGGCTCACCCTGTCCCCAAGGATAGCACTGTGAGTGGGCAGAGCTGGGGGAGGAGGCAGTCCTGTGGAGGGCAAGGGTGCCTGCTGCCAGGGCCCAAGGGTTTCTGTGATAGCTCTGAGGTCAGGGGTCAGTGCTGGCTGGGATGTGGGGACCCTGGGAGCTGGAGTCCCTCCCATAGTGTCCCATGCCCAAGGCCCACCTGCTGGCCCATGGGAATGCCCAGCCCGCAGATGTGGCCACAGCACCTGGGTCAGGGAGGGGCCTGTGTGAGAGGCTGCAGTGGGGTGAGGTGGCATGAGGAGCTGCTGCTGCTGCTGCTGCTCCCACAGCTTTTCCCCTTGAGGGACTTGAAAAGAATCAGCATTTTTCTCCCTAATAGAGCTCTGAAACTCTTTTGTGAGCAATTTGGAAATTCACGTCGAGTTTCGGGTTCATTAGCTCCCAGCTCCAAAGCCGGTGTGCATTCCAAGCTGTCTAATGTGGACGCCGCACCAGTGCCCTGAATTAATGTTATTGTTATTTGTGTGGACGTGGCGGGGTGCAAACAAGGTTAATTGAAATGAGAATGCAGTTTCCTCTTGGTAACAGCCTGCTCGCAGCCCCTCCTGGCTGCGCTTGGTGTAAGAGTTGGCTTTATTATCCCTTTTTATTAGAGCTAATTTGGGCTCTATATCAAAAACCACATTAAGGGAATTGTCTACAGCCCACCACCACCAGCCCCAAACGGGCCCCCAGCCCCTCTCCCCTCCCCAACCCTTCTCCCCTCTGTGGCTGCAGTTAAAAGACAATTAAAAATAAACTCTTTCTTGTTAAATCACCCTTTGTTTCTTCCTGTCTCCCTCCTTCCTGCTCCCAGCTCTGGGACTCACCTAGGGCCTTTCTCCTTCCTCCTTGGCCTCAAATAGCGTCCTCTGCCTTCACCCCTCTCCCACCTTACCCCAGAAAAGTGACAACATTTTAAAGCCTCTGAGTCTGCCCAGGGCTCCTCAAGTAGATGGGGATAAGGTGGGCAGACTGGGGGCGGGGGGTTGTGGTGGTGACAGACCTGGAGAACGGCCAGGGCTCTATGTGGGCTGTAGTCTGAGGCAGGACAGTGACACTGCCCCCATTCTGGCCCAGGAAGGAGCTGGCAGCTGGCTTACATGAAAGGGAGGGGAGCTGGCTCCCAACAAAATCAGGAGCCCCCTGCTTCTTGGGTGGCTGCAGCCCAGTGCCTTCCCCTCAGGACTCAGTTTCCCCCACTTGGGAGGAGATAAGTTATATCTCCCTGTCCCAGCCCAGTGACCATGGCCAGTGGCTGTTAGTGCTACTGGGCCACATAGCCCTACACAACAAACCCAGAAGGGCTCCTGCCCTTCTGTGTCTCCTGCCAGGCTCACCTCGGCCTTCCCACCCTGGGCCTCTCGCATCCAGGCTGTGCCACCCCAGCCTCCAGTCCAGGGCTACAGAGCCCTCTACTGGCAGTCTAGGCCTATAGGCACCTCCCCCAGACACTGTCCCCACCACCCAGGGACTGTGAGGGCAGCTTAGGCCTCAGGCTAGTAGCAGGGCCCTGACTGCCATCTTGCCCACTCCTAAGCCCTGGACGCTAGGCAGGAGAGAAACTCAGGGGCTAGGGCAGCACACCTGAGCCTGGCCCAGCTGCCCTGAATCCTTACCTGGGCAGAGTGAGGGCAGGTGTGCTGATCACTGCGTTCCGACCTCTGAGCAGGCAGCCCACCCACCCCTCAGTCCTGCTGGTCAGCACCCTGTGTCCATTTATGCCTTGGGCTGGGCCCAGGGTCTCCAGCCATAATCCATCTCCTGGCATCTGGCTATGGGGCCTTGGCAGCTGCTAATCACTAACATTTTTCCCTGTATACCGGGGTGTGCTCAGTGGGTGGGCCAGAGCAAAGCTGGGTAGGTCTGCTGGCCCTCACCGCCTGCCCTCCCCCCAGATGCCCGTGTGCTCCTACTTCCTGAAGGGGATCTGCAGCAACAGCAACTGTCCCTACAGCCACGTCTATGTGTCCCGGAAGGCCGAGGTCTGCAGCGACTTCCTCAAAGGCTACTGTCCCCTGGGCATGAAGGTGAGGGGCCAGGGCCGGTGGTGCTGGGCTGGGTACTTCCTGCAACCTAGTTGTCCTTTTAAGCACTGCTCAGTGCCGTGTGAGGTGGTCATAGTCGTCATGTCCACCTCAAAAACGTCTTGGAGAGGTTCAATAACTTGCCCAGGATCACACAGCACCAGGGCAGGGTGGAGTCTGAACCTCAGGAAAGCGAGGCTAGACAACCCAGGTCCCACCAGTGCAGCAGGGCCAGGCCCTGCGTGGTGGGGTGGGGGCTCAGCTTTGCAGCCCAAAAGGCTGGTGCTGAGAGAGGCTGTGGGGTGAAGGGGTGTTAGAGGTCAGGCCTTACGCAGGAGTGAGGTACAGTGAAGGGATGTCAGAGGTCAAGCCTTATGCAGGAGTTGGGTGGGGTATAGGGATATTGGAGGTCAGGCCTCTTGCAGAAGTAGGGTGGGGTGAAGAGGATGTCAGAGGTCAGGCCTTGGGTAGGAGGGGGTGGGGTGAAGGGGGTGTCAGAGGTCAGGGCCTAGGGTAGGAGTGGGGCCAGCAGCCTCTCCAGGAAGGCAGGTGGTGGGTGGGGCACTCCCACCTGCCTGGGTCTGTGGGCAGAGCTGTGGGGTGTCCTGGGCAGCAGCCCAGAGGCTGGATGAGTTGCAGCTGGAGCTCAATGCTGGGCATCCAGTGCCCCATGGGGAGCCGGCTAAGGGGTCAGGCCCAGGTTCGCTGGGGACTGGGTTTTCCTCTGCCTCTCCCCTCAGTTGCTGCCTACCTCAGCCTGGAGGAGGCTCCTGGGCCTCATCCGGGCCAGTGGCTGAGGAGTGTTGTAGGAGGCTAAGGGAGAGTGTGGTCTCTGGAGAGGTCTCCCCAGAAGCCTTGTGCAGCTGGGCCTGCCCCAGGGCCTGCAGTCTAGAGGGACTGCCCTCCCCAAGCACAGTCCTCCACAGCTGGTCAGTACCTCACCATGTCCCCTCCCTGGGCCTGTTCACCCCAGTGGTGTGGCCCACACCCACTTCCAAAGAGGACATGAGACAGTGGGTGCCTGGAAGAAGCTCCCAGCTCCTCCTGCCACTAGGCCAAGGGGTGGGCAGGTTGGCTTAGTGCCCTGGGGCCTGGTGGGGGGTGGGCACAGGGGCTATGGCCAGTCATTGTAAAATATTCCAATTGCATTGAAAATATCAGAGTGATATTTAAGCGCTGCTTCTATTAGTGGAAGTGCTTACTGCGTGCCTTTGGTGTGTCCGCACCACGCTCCTGTGATGGATAGCAGCTTGTAATTATATATGGGAAAGCGCTGAGCCGGCCAGATCCAGAGGGAGGAGAGGCAGCAGCCTGGGCCTGTGAGGGTTAATTTTATTCTCTAAATAATATAAAAAGTGCTGAGTCGTCACCTTGCGCCTGAAGTAGAAGTCTTCAAATGGGCCCCGGAGAGTTTATAATATTCCACTGAATCAAGTGAAATTGTTAACCTTGCTTCATAAAGCGAGGGCTTGTTAAAGAGGCACGCTCCCTTTCTTGGTGAATAGTTTAGGCTGGGACTCAGTCTCCACTGTTTCCCCTTTTGGGGGGCTATGGGGTTGCTGGAGGCTTGAGGCTCAGAGGTGAGCCTTCCGCCTCAGCCAGGCCGTCCACCTTGGGAGCAGCCCTTCTGTGCCTCTTGGGCTCCAGGATAAACTCAGGTATACAGACCTGTTGTTTGTGGGATGCCTTTGCCTGGTGGGGGGGTGGGAGGGGAGCTGCTGTGTCCTCCCTCACAAGTGAGTAGAGTGTCTCAGTCTGGCACTGTGATCTTCTTCCTTGTCTTGCTGCTAACAGCGATCTTGCCTGTTCTCCAAAGCTGATGTTGGCTCAACTCCTCCCTTGGTCTCTTCCTGGGTGCCACGTGTTTTATGGGGAGACTCTTTGAGATTCCAGAAAACCCACCTTTGCCCATGAGTCCTGAGAGCCACTGACACTTCTCATCTGCCCACTGTGACTCCATCATGGCCTTTGTGAGCAGGCTTTCCCCATGGGTCTGCTCCCTGTGTGTGCTGCAGTGCATGCCTGGGTGCCATGTCCTTCACTGGGACACAGCCCATTGTCACCATCCTTTAACTGAATGCTTACGTTGCCCCCATATGTAGCCAGCAGGAGGCCCTTCTAGCTATTCCTGTTCCTTGTGATACACTCCAACATTTTTTGGGTACTTCCTCTCAGCTCTGAGGCAGCCTGTCCCCCAGGGAGGCCTGGTTTCTTGTGGACCTATTTAAAAGTCAGGAGCGCTCAGCATCTGTGGCTCAAGTGGCTAAGGTGCCAGCCACATACACCTAAGGTGGCAAGTTCGAATCCAGCCTGGGCCTGCCAAATAACAATGACGGCTGCAACCAAAAAATAGCCGGGCGTTGTGGCGGGCGCCTGTGGTCCCAGCTACTTGGGAGGCAGAAGCAAGAGAATCGCTTGAGCCCAGGAGTTGGAGGTTGCTGTGAGCTGTGATGCCATAGCACTCTACCTAGGGGGACAGCTTGAGGCTCTGTCTCAAAAAAAAAAGTCAGGGGCTGACCAGGCATGGTGACTCATGCCTATAATCCTAGCATTCTGGGAGGCTGAGGCAGGTAGATTGCCTAAGTTCAAGATTCAAGACTAGCCTGAGCAAGAGCAAGACCCTGTCTCTGAAAATAGCCGGGTGTTGTGGTAGGTACCTATAGTCCCAGCTACTTGGGAAGCTGAGGCAAGTTGAGCCCAAGAGTTTGAGGTTGCTGTGAGTTGTGATGCTATGGTACTCTACTGAGGGTGACAAAGACTCTGTCTCAAAAAAAAAAGTCAGGTGGGCAGTGCCCATAACTCAGTAGGTAGGGTGCAGGCCACATACACCAAGGCTGGTGGGTTTGAACCTGGCCCCAGGCCCACTAAAACAACAATGGCAAAAAACAAAACAAAACAAAAAACAGGTTTTATGGTGGGTGCCTGTAGTCCCAGCTACTTGGGAGGCTGAGGCAAGAGAATAGCTTGAGCCCAAGAGTTTGAGGTTGCTGTGAGTTGTGATGCCAGCAGCACTCTACCTAGGGCAACAGCTTGAGACTGTCTCAAAAGAAAAAAAAAAGTCAGGCGCTGGGCACAGCGTGTGCTTATGGCAACTGAGTGTCGCTGTTGCCAGTCCCTTGCATGTGTGCATACGCGGGGTAGCAGCTACCCGATGTGCCCATTCTGACTGCTGTAGCCTGGCCCTCTGTGTTTGCAGCCCCTGCGTGGGGGCCTCTGCTGACCACTCAGTGGTCTGTCCCCCTTCCCAGCTGGCCCACCCTGTCCCCACATAGGGTGCTGCCTGAAAGGCGGCCTGAGTGTAAGGTTTCATCTCAGCATGAGCCAAGTCAGCAGGGATTCCCTCTTGCAGTGGTTCCTTCTGCCCCTGCTTTCCCCTGTGGCTGATGGGAGCTCCTGTGTCCTCTGGACACCACCTTTCTTCATTTTGGTCATGAACAGCGTCTTCCCATCTCTCCCCCACCCCGCCACCCCGCCCATAGGCTAAACCCTTCATCCCTTACTTGAGTCCTTCTGTGTTGTGCTCTGGGGGGTTTCATGTGGGACACGTCCTCACTTGTGGTCACAGAGTGTGTTCTACATCCGCTGCTGGCATAAGTGGCAGCTGGGGGTTTGGGGATGGACCCCTGTCCACATGCAGCTGTGACCCTGCACAAGTGACTTCATTCTCTGGGCCTCAGTTGCCTTTTATGTAAAATTGAGATAGTGTTGCTACTTACCTCAGAGGTGAATGGTGGTGATTAAAAGGGTCAGTGTGGAAATTTGTAGTCTGTGGGGAAAGCTCCCTAAGTGTTACCCTCCCAAGTAGCTGGGACTACAGGTGTGCGCCACAAAGCCCAGCTATTTTTAGAGAGGAAGTTAATGGCATAAGCCATTAACCATCTGAATGTTTCGTGAGCATAGGACATGACCTCACTTAATGCTTCTTTATGTGCGTCCTAGCCCTGGGCCTTATGATGCCACTTAAAACAAAAGAAACTCTCCAGAGGTCATGGCTTATGCCCAAACTGCTAGCACTTTGGGAGGCAGGAGGATCACTTGACCCCAGGAGTTAGAGGCTGCAGTGAGCTGTGATGACACCACTGCATTCTAGCACGGGTGACAGAGTGAGACACTGTCTCAAAAAAACAAACAAGAGGGGCCAGGCGTGGTGGCTCATACCTGTAATCCTAGCACTCTGGGAGGCCCAGGCAGTGGATTGCCTGAGCTCATAGTCAAGACCAGCCTGAGCCCCAGTGAGACTTTGTCTTTAAAAACAGCTGGGCTTTGTGATGTACACCTGTAGTCCCAGCTACTTGGGAGGCTGAGGCGAGAGAATTGCTTGAGCCCAAGAGTTTGAGGTTGCTGTGAGCTATAATGCCATGGCACACTACCCAGGGTGACGAAGTGAGACTCTGTCTCCAAAAAAAGAAATAACAAGAAAGAGAGAAAAAAAACAAACAGCTTTATTGAGGCACGATTTACGTACCATAAAGTTCACCCACTGTAGGTGTGTGAGTCATTGGGTTTTAGTAAATTTACAACATTGAACAACCTTGCAACCTAGTTTTAGAACATTCCCATCACCCCCAAATCCCCTCAACTCTTTGTAGTCAGCCCAGCCCCCCGTCCTCCCACCTCTCCTTTCCATCTTGTGAGTTTCTGCTCTGGGCATTCCATGGAGATGGACCTGTACAGCACAGTCCTCAGTGTCTGTCTTTTGGCTTCTTTGGCATGCTCTATATCTGCGAGACCTGTGCACGCCGCAGCATGTGGCAGCCTGAATAGTGTTAGCATCTGCATGCAGGTCTCTGCGTGGACTCAGTTTTTTTCCTTTTGGGTACATACCTAGGAGTGGAAATCCTGGGACAGAGGTAACTCTGGTTTAACGACTTTTCTAAAATCGCTTCACTATTTTACTTCCCCCCCAGAAGTAAATGAAGGTTTTGTTTTGTTTACATCCTCACCAGACCTGCCGGTGTGTCTTTTGGCTATGGTGACCTGGTGCGTGTGGAGGGACACCTTAC